ATCAGGCTCTGGAAGCCACTGCTCACCCATCGTCTGAACCCTGGGGATGCCTTTTGATTCACCCGGGATCTTAAAAACAAAACAGCAAACCAATAAAAAGTAACCACCAGCCGGTGGTGGCGCACACTTTTAATCCCAGCACTTGGGAGGCAGAGGCAGACAGATATCTGAGTTCAAGACCAGCCTGGTCTACAGAGCAAGTTGCAGGACAGCCAGGGCTACACAGGCTACTACCCTGTCTTGAAAAAACCAAAACCAAACCAACAAATAAAAACAAAACAAGTCTCAATGCTCTAAGAATTCCAACTTAACTTTTTGGGGAAGGACACGTGGTCCCTTCCCCCTGGACTTCTGCCCTGGCTCTTCAGAGACCCTCCCTGTCTTCACCCACACCCTTTTATCCACTGTCCATTTGGAGCCAGAGACCACTTTCAAACCATCTGAGGGCGACCTTCTTCCCCCAGGGCTCCCAGTGCTGTAAAGTCAAGTCCAGATTCCTTCCTGCGCTTAGAAGAACCTGTGTGGTCTGTCCTTGCCTCCAGACCCAGTTCATTCTCTGGACCAGAGTCCTCTGAGTGGGACATTGCTCCTCCTCCCGACCGCCAGGCTTTTCCTCAGGCCACTTGCCCCCACTCCCACAAGTGTCCACCAGGGGGTGCTCACACTAAACTGGTGTCTGGTCTCTGAAAGCTTTGGTTAGCCTCAGGCCTGGGATGGACAGACTGCCCAGCAGGTGGACTGCCTGAGGGAGTGGGTCTGTGCCCTCCCCTCCTGGCTCATCCCCTACAGCCTTAACAAGGATCGGGAAGGGCATACAGCAGTGGCTGGAATCCCACCAGAGGAAAGTGCCCTTGAGCAGACTGGCCAGGGAAGGGCCACGCTCCCAAACCTCCTGGTCTCAACGGGGAGGCCTCTGGCTTTTGAGCCTTGGCCTCATCAATACAAGCAGCTGTCCCTGCTGGGGAGGTGACTGGAAAGAACAGGGAGCTAGCTCGAGGTCCCAGCTCTGGGCCAGGCCCTGACTCAGGTCAAGCCCCGAGCCCCAGCCCTCACCTTCTGGGCTTCCAGCTTGTAGGCAATCTGGCTGGGCCCATCGCTGGGCTGCACCTGGTTGTGAGGCAGCTGCTCCAGCCAGGAGCTCAGGTTGTCCCTGACATTTGTGAACTGCTGGTAGCTGAGCCTGGCATCTTGTAGTGTCTTCTCCCTGCCGGAGGACAAGGTCCCACATGGGGGTGAGAGCTGAATCCAGGGAAGAGTTGGTGGTCCACAGAGGAGGCTGATGGATGCCTCCATCCTGAGACAGAGCAGAAGGCCTGCGTGACAGGCCATGTAGGTCTTTCCTCAGAGACACAATGGACACTGTATTTCAGACACAATGAACAGCGCCTCCCCGACACAGGTAAGGGCAGGAAGTCAGTCTGGTGACCACCCCCTTTTAGAGGGGAGGGAACGGTCTTAGAAAGGCTGTCGCCAGCTCAGCAGCAGCCGTGCCTGGGCTCCCCTACATTCCGCTCACCTCAGATCCAGCTGGTCCCCTACGGCGTGGTAGCGGTCAGTGAGGACGCGCACCTGGCGCTGCTGGCGAGGCAGGTCTTGGCAGAACTCTTGGAAATTGTTCTGCAGCGCACCGCACGCATGCTCAGCAGCCTTCAGCTGGCGGTGCAGCCCCAGCACACAGCCCTGCTGCTGGAGGAGCTCTTTCCGCTGGTGCTGCGGAAGAAACGGACAGGAGCGAGCATGCTCCGGGCTCCTTGGGATACCCCTCCTTACCTGCCCCTTGCACCAGGAAGCTGCCGCTGAGCCTACCTGCAGCTCATTGACCCTCTCCTGCAGCGCCCCAGAGCCTTCAGGGATGGGCCCCTCCTGGGCCAGGGCAGCCTCGAAGCCCCGAATGACCCTGTCTGCCTCCTGGATCTGCTGCTCCAGGCCCAGAGCAGCTCTAGCTCTGCAGTGAGGAAGCCACCGTCAGACACTTCCGGCGTACCCTCCAGTACCCTCCAGATGCCCCCCCCCCTCAGCACTCACTTCTCCCCATAGAGGTGGCACAGACTCCGCACGTCATTATATTTATTCTTGACGTTGTTGAGGATCACAGGCAGCTGCAGGGCAGCTGGGCCCACGGGCTTAGTAGACAGGAACGCCTCACACTCCTGCTGGGCCGCCTCCTTCTCCGCTCCCAGGCTCTGGAGGTGCTGTGCTGTGCCCTGGGTCAGGGTGGAGCAGGCAGAAAACACAGTCAGAGGTCCCTGGGTCACCGGACCCTATGAGCATGAAGGCATGGTACGAATCGGAGGCCAGGCCCGACTATTCTAATCCCCAAGAGGATAGTCTAGAGCAGGACACCCTTCCCACCTCCCCCTCATCTGTAGAATGATGGATTGGGCCATGAAATGAGATCCTGTATACTAGGCGCTTAGCAACAAGAACCAGGCCCGCGCTGGCCTGTGGTTGGCACTGTCACTCTTGCTCACCAGCAGACCCTCTACCCTGCTGTTGCTTCAGGCTGGGCAGGCAGAGCCCTGGCTCAGCTCACTTGGGGCGCTGCCCTCTGATCTTTCATCACAATTATTTCACCCATTCCGTAAGGCAGACCTTCGAACTGGGCTTTTAGTGGTCTTGCCAACACCTCTGATATGGCAATTGACCTAAGAACCAAAGGACCTCTGGATGTGGTGGCTTGTGGCTGTAATCCCAGCACTCAGGATGCTGGGGTGCGAACCAAGAGTTCGAGGCCAGTCTGGGCCACAAAGGAAGATGTCTCAAAACAAGCAAGCAAGCAAACAAAAACAAACAAACAAACAAAAACCCACAGACCCACTTTGGTGTGGCAGGGTAAGCCACCAGCCTCCAATATCCTGTACCTATGCCCTCCCTCCCACAAACATCCCATCTGTGAGGCCCTCCAATGAGCACCCAGTCCCCTTGGGGACCCCATTCCAAGCCAGAGCACCCCACATGCAGCATCTGACTTCATATCCCCTCCTCCCTGGCTGGGCTGCCACCTCCCTCCATCCACACTGCAGCAGAGACCAGAACAGGTTATACAACAACCTAAATGAACATGGTTCACGTTTTTAAAAACCAAACACTATTGGTATGCTGTATTTGAAGAGAAGCCGGTTTGGAAGGCTGGCTAGAATGCTTGGGCTTCCACCCAGGGCACTTCCAGGCTGCTGGGGTCGTGTGTCAGAGAACGTGGTCACCACCGGCACTGACAGTCTTTCCACGCCTCTAGGCAGGCTTTCCTGGAGTGCTGAGAAATCTCCCCCACCGGGAATCCCAGGATTCCTTGCTGTTCCCACAGCTCTCACTAGAAAAACTTCTGTGTTGGGGGCCTCTGGCCAGGCATGGTCACCTTGTCACCCTCAGGACGCCTGAAGGATCTGGGTACCACCCCAGACATGAGAAACTCAGAAAAGTGACTCGTCCATGGCGACAGAGCCTGTCATGGAAGAACCAGGACGGGAACCCTGTTCTCCGAGTCTATGGCCCCAGGAGTGTGCGCAGCCTCAGAGCAGGCCCCTCTGGTACCAAGCTCTCAATGATGCTCGCTTACCTCATGACTGTGGATGCGGTCCTCTAGGTCCGTCAGCGGAGCAGAGCGGTTCAGTGGTGTCCGAGCCCAGGTCAGCACCTGCCTCTCTATCTGCCTCAGATCCCCATCCAGCTGGGTCATGTGCGTCAGGAGCTTCTGAGCCTGTGGGTCAGCTGGGGCTGAGCCTGCTGGAGCTGGGGGCAGAAGAGCCGGTGAGGCTCCAGGCCTACCTATGTCTGCCTAAACTGGGCTCTCCCTGGAGCCTGCAGGGAGGGTGTGGAGGACCTGGAGGGAGGACTGGACCTAACCGAGGGAGGGATAGTCCCAGAGATGGAGCACCGCTTGCTCATCGTGGCCCTCCCATCGGCCCCCCTCCCTGGCCATCCTCTGGTACCCTGCTGGCCAGGCTGTAAAGGCTCTCCCACAGTGGCCTTAAGGCGGCTCTTCACTGTAGACAGCTTCTGCTTCAGGGTCTGCAGCTCCGTGGCCAGCCTGGAATGAGGAGATGAGAGAAGCGTGTCTCTCTCCCTAACCCAGGACTAGCACCCCACTGCCTCAGAGGAAAGCATTGGCCTTGGAGCCTGTGAGTATCTTGGGGTGAGCCACCTGGAGGCCTTGGCTACAGCTTCAGGGTCTGGTGCTGGGATACAGAGGCAGGCAGCTGGGGCGCTCTTGGTCTCTCCTCCGGGGCCCTGAACCACCCATGTATACGGGTCAGCATTGTCCTTGAGTGTGTACTGCTCTCCTCGGAGCAGCTGCACCTGAGGGACCGATGGAGAGCGGTCATGTGGGACCAAGGACAGGAGCTGGAGAGGTGGCTAGGGTCAAGATGGGTGGGTGCTGGGGATGGGGTGGATGGGGACAAGGGTGTGCGGGGGACAGGGGTGTGCGGGGATCCGGGTG